AGGAACCCACTTTGAGACTAATAATGGCTGGAGATGGCTTGAATGGGTAATGAAGAAAAATTTTACTATAAGTTTAACATAACAGCAAATGTGCAACGTTTCGACAAGGTCGATGATGACAAAACCTTGTCGAAAGTTTGTACATTTGCTGTTATGTTAAACTTATATTAAAGTTTTTCTTCATTACTCATCCAAGCCGTCTCCAGCCATCATGAGTTCCAGTAGTTTTGTATTAGAGCAGCGCATGCAAGATACTAACAAATACAGAATAAATTCTAAATAAAATAACAAAAACTTACTTGAAATATATTTATTCATTTTAAAATTCTAGGGCAAAGTACAGAAAGAGCAATCTGCTCGCACCATCACTAATTTTGGGCTGATAGACTAGAGAGAAAACAGCTAATCAACTGCACACTCTTCCAAACTTGGGCTACTATTGTCTTAACGAATAACACAAAAACTGTCCGTCCCTATTATATAGTGCACTCGCAACCTAAATGTGCGAATAGCATTTCTCCGGCAAAGAGCTACGAATCATGAATCTTCGGATTCATGCTAACCACTAGGCTGCAGGTCTGACCCGCTCGACGCAGAAATCTTAGACCAATTTCGGCTTAGATATAAAACAAATTGCAAGTGTTTATTTTTCAATCGGATCGACATCAAAATCGTGAATAAAACAATTAAAAAGTTAAAATTCTAACAAATTAATTTAACACATTTTTTTCTTATAAATTAATTGAAACAAATCACTGAAAATAAAGAATAGACATTTAGCCTTAGTAAGTAAATGCTGTGATGATAAAGGTATGCATTTCTTTTTATCAATGCTTTGTTTGTTTGTTTTGCATTTCGCGCAAAACTACACGAGGGCTATCTGCGCTAGCCGTCCCTAATTTAACAAAGTAAGACTAGAGGGAAGGTAGCTAGTCATCACCACACACCGCCAACGAATAGTGGGATTGACCGTCACATTATAACCCCTCCACGGCTGAAAGGGCGAGCATGTTTGGTGGGACTGGGATTCGAGCCCGCGACCCTTAGATTGCGAGTCGAGCGCCCTAACCATCTGGCCATGCCGGGCCTTTTATCAATGCATTTGTAATTGACAGTCATAAAAATGACAGTAGAAAATTATAATAAATAAAATCATATCTCATCAATTAATAGCAAGCACTTCTTCAATTATATTTCAGCTCATCGTCAAAAATCTTGTCTCAAGAACTCAATACCAGCTTGATGTAACAAAGAAGATATGGAATCTGAATGTATTACAGTATTATTGTGCATGCTAAAGTTGATCACATTCTATATCGACTCGCTGATTTTCTATAACTTCACTTCTACTTCACTTGTTGATCGTTAACATTTTGAGCCACAGCAGCTCAGAGATAAGTCTGAAGGCTTGTAACGCTAAACATTGGATTTCGATACCTGTGATGGACATAGCACAGATAGTCAATTGTGTAGTTTTGTGTTTAAAAATAAACAAAGAAACGTTCACGTTTTTATGACGCATTATTATCTGACCTTTAAGTTCCATTGTAACAAACTTTTACGAAAGCTGGTGAGGTCAATCTTAGACCACATATCTTGACAAACTTTCTACAGACCGTCCTCTGTAAGTTGAAGTCAGCTTCCAATAATATGTTCAAGCAAATTAAAAGCACTGTAACTGCACTACGTGATTTAACAGGTATGGACAAATGGAATTGCTGTGATTTCATTGTTTTCTGTCTTCTATTTTCATGAAAATAGCGATTGATTTCGAGATGTGACTAGAAACTTTGAACTTGCGGTTTGTGGGTGTTCACCAACTTCAAATCCTTGTTTATTATGTTGTTATCAATACAAAGAGAGATTCAGTATGGTCGTAATGTTTTTGTTGTTGTTTTGGGGGGGGGGGAGATTCGAAAGGCCTTTTTTCATAACCGTAGTACCGAGTTTGCGAATAAGGTCAATGCTCTAAATTGAACGAAGATGTGATTTCTGAGCTTGTTGCTGTCCTGAAAGCTGTATTTTGCAAGTTTTCCCTTTTTTACGAAGATCATTGATGATTCTCTTCTTCGAAATTTACGTCATTAGATATTGCATCCTTTAAAAATTATGATGTACGAATATTTCTCTTCGGAAAGGTGTTCTTTATTCGTACTTTCCTAAAGTCTATTAGTGGTGCCATTGTGTTGTCAAATGGTCAAGAATTCTCCAAGAAAGAAATACGAAAGTGCTACACGTGTTACTTGTTGCACAATGTTTCCCATCGGCAGCGACTTGCCATTACATTGGCATATATAGATCGTTGAAATAAAGTGTAATTTATAGGTCGTGCTGAAAGATATAAGAAATAACATGTTTAATAAAGATAATATATAGTAATACTCATCAAGGCTGAGGTGACATGACCAGAACTATTATCATTGAGATATTAATTCCGTAACTGTGAAGATAACTTGTTAGAAAATATGAAATCTGAGAAGCCATTTCCGGTTGTTTTTAAACTTTATGTTGGATTCAAAGAGTTTCGTTTTAAGCCAAACCCGTTCCTGGCTTATGACATAGGAACTTAAGTATACCTGATTATGTACACCACAATGACTACAATATCTAATTTGCTAAGTTTGCAAAATCTTCTAAGGAAACAGTATGTTTTATAATACATTATTTGTACATGTTCTCAATGTGTAAACAAAGCTGAAACGCATATGATGCTTCCTATGTCATATATTGTGTATACGTTAAGCAAAATTACCATACATACGTAGACAAAATATTAAGAAAATTAAAAGGACATTATTTCGTTATCAGAATGTTTTTCAGCCAAATGAGCAACACAGCTAAAATTCGAACTTATTTAGGAGCACCATGTGTTCACTGAAAACAATTTAAAATTAACGAATCAGTAAATCGCTGTTTACAATCCATGGAACGTAAGCACTCTCGAACTCAGTGGTCAAAGTTAGAGTCTTGTTGAATCAACTTATATAAAAGAGTCACATTTGACATAATGATATACTCGATAGCGACTGTAAACCTTTTTAAAATTGTTACAGTTTTCATTGTGGTGCGGATACATCGTCTATCAGTCTTAACCTCCGTTCGTTAGTCTCAAATAAAGAAATTCAAAAAATAATCAAAAGTAGAAATTAGGAGAGCGAGATGTGGGTGCTCTAGCCCACAACGTCCCACATGTATATCACCCTTCACTTTTGGATTGCTGTTTTTAACGCAATCCTTCCTTCTGATTTGGTATTGCTTGACTGTTTGAATATTGATTTTCTATACATATATTATATAATATATATATATATATAGTTATATTATATCTATGAACTTGAGAAAAAAAAAACTAGAATAGTTACATACAGAGAATAAACATACATGAAGACCAGGGCACATTGTTGATGTTGATGGAATAATATTCCTGGCGATAAATCAATAAATCGAAATTTAAAGGTGTATTCAAGTATATTTATTCCAGTGTGTATTTAGTATTGAAATACTTTATATAGCTCATCAACAATAACTCCACAACACAGAGTATGTCTTTGAAAGTCATATAGAAGATAACATTAAGGTAGTGCGGTGGGCATTTTTCAACATACATTGAACATTGACCGTGATGTTTAACAGACAAAATTTGTTACGTGATATGTAAGTAAATATTTATATGCCAAATGGGTGGAAAGATCAAGTGTAAGGAAGAAGTAACAAATGAAACGAAGTGAAAGAATATTTTGTTAAAAAGTATTCTGCCCCCTGCTTTGGTTGCTATGCGTATGTTTAGCAATATATTATACATATTATTAGTAAAAATAAGCAGAATTATACATATTATTGGCAAGAAGAAACATAAATACATATCTTATTCATAATAAAAAAACACTATATGTTATAAAAATCCGATAAAAACTTTAAGTGCTAGACATTTATCCAATAACTACTAATAAATAATAAATAACTAATAAACGTGGATCTGTACACGTTCTTGCAAAAATTGTAGCTTGTTATTTAAATGCAAAAAAAATAACATTTTCACGTTCATGTAGCTCAATCATAATTATAATTAATATAACATAATATAATTAATAAGCTTTTATATTCTAACAGTGTGAAAACAACATCATAATCCGTATTCTAAACATTCTTTCCAAACGATATGATAACTAGCAATGAGTATAGCCACCATTAACACATATTCTCTCATTAAAAAAAGCTATCTCGAAATTATTTTTATCACTTGATATAACTTCTAATTCTAACTATGAACAAATGGCGTACTTTTACATTTAAAGTAGAAGCAGAAACAAACAAAGACATTGTAATAATCATTTCTCTTTCTCTTTCACATATTGAGATTTTTAAAATGCTTAAAGTGTTAAATACAAGATTAACTATGACATCAACTTTCTTACTACGGAATCCTTAATATATCTATTTATTTCAAGCTAAACCGGTTCACTAACGATCACAAACAATAAATAATTGCGGGACTAGAGTGTACACTAGCTTGGGTGAGACAGTCATGACTAAGTGGCGCACACACACACATATATATACTTATATATATATAGAAAATACTACATTCGGACATTTTTTGTAATTAAATGTATGATAAACTAGGTCAGTTGATTCCAAATAAGGTAAACATATTTTAAGAACAAGATGATTACGAGGATCAAGCACTAACAAACAATATTAAGTCAGCAATAACAAGAGCCAGTGACGTGCGCTGTGTGAGATGTTTCCACAAGTGACCTATGACTGACGTGCTCAAGCGGCTCAGTTCATTTTCTACAACAATGAGGAAAAACGAGGCTTTGAGCAGAGCATCGACATCGCGCTTTGTCGAGTTTTTATTATTTCATTAATTAAATCTTCTCACGGAAAGAAGAAAAAAGTGTTTTCTGGTGGATATATAAGAGGAAGAGTTGAAGAGCAAACCTCACAAGCACATCAGTCTTCAGATTCACTCAGCAGAATTTGAAACTGCACACAAGATGCAGAATAAGGTAAGTAGAATATCATACAGTTTAATCAGGTTTAAAATCAGACGAACGAACAGTGTATGGTAATATAAAATTAACTATAACACGTGGTAGTCACGTTAATTCCATGGCGAGCTTCAAGCCTATAGGAGAAGTTTATGTTTTTCTTAAATTAACTGAACTGTTTTCGTGTAATGCTATTTCCGTCTTCCAATTAGGAAATAACTGTTTAGTTCGTAATTAGGAGAAAATTAAAATTATGTGCATTGTTACAGTATTATATACAATTGTTTAGAATTACACGTAAAGTTAACTTTGTTAAACGAACATTAATTCACTTAGATCAATATATACAAAAATAATAATTATATTTGCCATAACATATTAGTATTAGGCCTATTACATTTTTAAACACTACATTCTTTATTGAGTTAATTTTGTTAAACGAACATTAATAATTCCATATTAATTCATTTAGAAGAATATATACAAATATAATAATTATATTTGTCATGAGACAATAGTATTAGACCTATTATATTTTTAAGCACTACATTCTTAACCTAATCCACGAATTAGAAGAGTGTATAATAACAGTATTTCAATCGCACTATATTTGTCATATCAATGGCCGACGACGCGTTTTGCTCAATCCAGATCTCTTCAGGCCGGCTTGGATACAACAAACACAGCAGTGGTCGAAACACTATTGTTATAAGTCATTTCATACAATAATAACAGTACGCACAAGAACAATATACACACAAAGATAATTTATATTTAACAATTATTGTTATGCTTAATTCACCACAATAATCGTTATTGTTTAAATTAAGTAAGGAATACTGAAAATTATCCAAGCATTTTTCCCACCAGGTAGTTTGTATTTTGTCTCTGCTACTATCAACAACGTGGGTACATTGTGAAACTCAGGAAGAAGTGCAGAAAGATGACGACTTGAAAGGTGAAGCTACTGGTTACGGTGGTGGAGGAGGAGGAGGAGGCTATGGAGGCGGAGGAATAGGCGGAGGTGGATTTGGTGGTGGTGGAGGTGTTACTATACAGGTATAACTTACCGATTAGTGCTAAGGTTTCAATTAATGCGAAAACTATATGCGAACAGCAAGACGTGTTGTGCACGTCAGCTTGTCGTAAGTTTCTTGGCTTTTGACATTATATTTTAAACTTACCTGTATCTAACTCAACAATTAGGTAAGAATTCCCATAATTCTGTAAGTTAGAAAATGTCCAATATTAAACAGAATATTTATGAATCCATGCTAAATTGTAAACACAAATGAGTATAACTTTTTAACAAAGATATCATGAATGCATTATTTATATCAAGGCCGATTAATTATAGAGTTTAAGGGCAGTAAATATTGAACATTCATAACTATTTTATTTTCCGCAAAACAGTTTAAACCTAATATCTACAAAATAATCAACTGACGTTATTTAATTGTTAAATATATAAATTTTGTGTTTATAAACAGATGTAAAAAAACTTGATTGTGCCTGCATAGAATATTATTTTCACTCCTAAATACAACAAGTCCTACGTAAGTAATTGTATATATATGCTTACATATATGTATAGGCTATACCAATAGGCGGAGGAATAGGCGGAGGAATAGGTGGAGGTGGTTATGGAGGTGGCGGAGGGGGATATGGCGGTGGGGGTGGAGGCGGAGGCGGAGGAGGTTATGGTGGTGGAGGCGGAGGCGGAGGCTCAGTTGTTCTAGGACTTCTTGCTGTGCCATTACAACTACAAAGTGGAGGTGGTGGTGGATTTGGTGGTGGAGGATTTGGTGGCGGCGGATTTGGTGGAGGAGGACTTGGTGGCGGCGGATTTGGTGGCGGAAAGGGTGGTGGAGGAGGAGGCAAAGGTGGTGGTTATAAATGGTGGGACTAAGGTAAGATAATGATTGCACTTTATTTTATTAAAGTAAAAACACTATTAAATTTATCATATTAAGACTAGCTCTATACATCCCTCTTAAAGTAACTTTACTTCTCATTTATCAGAAAGACAAGACACTTGAGTAATTATGTTAATTTTTGGAATTTATTTTATCCTAGTTTCCTCTACTCTACGGAGATTTTGACCAAGTGCAAGTTAGTAACCAAGACCATCATTCATTTATCAACAGCCTTTGCGCCCTCTAATGACTTAGAACTGATTTACCTACTCTGAAAACCCTGAAGCAAAGTTCTGTCTTCAAATTGACCAAAGGCTAATCAATTAGTTTCATTTATAGTTTCCGAGATACGTGTATGTATTGTTTGTAAGAAAAATATAATAAATTGTTTGTATAGAATAAAGTCAATTGAAAGTTTCCTTCTTTACGTAACATAAAATACACATGGTATTTTGAATACTTCATCTCAGTTTATATACACTCTATATAAAACATAACATACAACTACTAAGAATGAATCTATGTCCATTCAGTGGTTTGTTTTAACTTCTGTTTATCAGAATCCTTTGTTCTGTTTGCGATTCATAAAACAACAAGTTACAAACCTATCGGTTCGATTAGCCGAGCTTTGCATTATATAGTAGTAGGCTAGGTTTTTTAACAATCACGAAAAATTTATTAATCACTCTATAAATCTTGTGATTATGGATAAAAAAAATAGTTTATATGCATATTATAGTTTAATAAACTTGTATATAACATTTACACAATATCACATATTGATTTCTCGACCGAAGATACCTAGTTTTAGTTTCTCTTATTCAAACCCTGAGAAAGTAAAATATATTCAGTAAAGGAGAAAAACTAGTATTTAGGTACGCTGTCTAGATCCTAGCAACACAAAACATCAAAATGTACTTATTCTTAGGGTTACTGTGTTTTTTGTACCAAAATTATTGGGCATGTTTACCACACATGATCAGCTTCTCCAAACTGGGGCTATCGAGCCTCGTTTTTTTTACCGTATTCTTGTTTGCTACTAACACTTTTCCATACATATTTGGCTGTCTTTTAAGCTATCACTTTTCTGTTCTTTTCGAAACTTTTTGATCCCTTCAGTACGCAAATGAACATTATTGGTAACTGAAGATTTGAATTGACAAGCTTTGCACAAAATATATTTATAAGTTCTCACTTTGTGCAGCAAGTAAAATATCTATATTTTTTTTAAATTAAACATTTCAGTATATTTGAAAATACGTTGGTAATGTTGAATTTGAGCTTTATATAGTGGTTTATACATTGAAAATTTTGCATATTTTGAGAAACTATCATTCATTAGTTATAATCAACTTAATTTTGTATAGAAAAGAAGCAAACAAATTCACTAGATAACTAAAAATGGAAACGTTTCTGGAGTTAAGCTTATTCTAATTCCATTGTAAAATCATAGAACATGTTTAATATATGATTTTATATTTTTGTGTAATAATTCTCAAATTATCTATAATAAATGCGTAGCTCAAAAGTCTCATTGTATCTATCAATCTCCTCCATTATTACTAGTTTCTTCTATTCTTATCCCAAAAGGGTCTATACCCGAAAAAGCCCTGTCAGGACACTCGTCCATGTGCCACGTTGGGTACCGCTAGTTTGTGAGTGGAGTATGAACACTGTTTCAAATATGGCGCTATAGAGAGCCAAAAGAAGTGCAAGGAACATAGAATACAAGACCATATTCTGGACCAACGACGCCGAAAATATTTTCCTAAATCTCCACCACACCTGAGTAACCTACAGTGTGTATTTTAATTCCCTCGGCATCCTCTAACTAGTGGGTTATAGCTAAACCTAGGGGTCCTGTACCCGAACAAACTCCACTAGAACACCCGTTACTGACGCCTGAAAGATGCAAGATTCAGGTTCAGCTATCCTGAACTCCTACTCCTAGACCCTTTATATCTAAGTGACCTTTTGGGCGTGTTTTTATCACTCTTTTGGTGTTTGTCCTACATCATATATATGATAATTGCATTTCCCAGACCGCTCCAAGTTTGACTGCCAAGTTTGGTCCTGCTAGTTCTAAAACTGTGACAGGAGTTTCGCGGAAAAACAAACAACTTCACACAAACACAACGTGAATTAATGTATGATATATTTTATATAAACTACAATTCAAGGTTTAAATTCACTATGGTTATGTTTTACAAAACTTTAAGCCTTTCTTTTTTTTCCAAAAATAGTTTTTTAGTAAAAAGTTACTTGACATCGCAGGCTAATCTTCAGTATAAAGACTATAAAAAAAACAGAAAATAGCCAGACACTTCCTTGGAACAATACATTTTAGATTTGAAATTGATAGTTTAGATAAAAATGAAATATAAAATATTAAATTTCAAATTTTTAAATTTTTTAAAACATATATTATAAAATACATTGTTTTATTACTGTCAATTGTAAAATCAAAACGTAATTAAAAGGAATCTTTAAATTAAATGTATTTAGCTTTAACGATAAAATTACTACAATACAATATACACACATTCCACAGATTATATATATATTATTTTTCAATATTCTTTACTTACTTTATTCTGAATAACCTTTTTTTTTCAAAGTCACCCACTGTTAACTAAAGGTACATCTAAAAAAACGCGCCAAATCCTTTTATCTCTTACTTATTAAAAATGTATCTTCTTTAGGTTTGAACTAAAAATTAGAACAGCGTTAAAATGATCAATAAAGTATTTTTAGAAAACTGCCCATTATTCTTTACATTAAATTTCCAAAAAATAAAAACTTACTTCACTGGATTAAAAAAACAATAAAAAGCTCACTTACTAGCAGGTAATTATTTTTCCAGACTTATAACAAGATTCCTATGTTAATAGACTCTAAATCGTAAATTAATAGTTTTCTCCAAATACAGTTGTTCTCAAATAGAAAATTTTAAAACATAAGTTACCAAAATAACCTCTCACATTAAATAATTTCTTCCCTCTCGATTCAATTTCTTGATTCGAGATAGCTACTTGTACCTATTAATTAAATAAGGAAGCGTTTTCTCGTAACTGTAGTACAGGCTTCGCGAATAAAGACTTGCTCCGAATTGGGTTAAGGTGTGTTTATCGAGCTCTTTGTTGTCCTAAAAACCTTTGTTTCACGAGTTTCTTCCATTTTCGCAGAGAACAGTGAAAGCTCCATTCTTCGAAATGTTGTGTGCTTTGGCTCTACATTTTTTAACACTATACATTACTGTGGAAAAGTGTTAGGACAACGTCAAAAATTCGATTTCAGGCTACTTTCAAAGAACAATGGAAGGTAAATCACAGGTGAAACAGCAAAATTGTATTAATCTCCATATTTAGTACAACAGAAACTCAGTGGAAGTGCTTGAGATCAGCAACCAGTTAATATTTTGTGTGTTTCCCTTTGCTTTAATAACTGCAGATAGTCTTTCTGGCATTGTTGTAACATAGTTAATCAGTGTCTTTTGGGATTTTACTCCAAATGTCTCTAATATACTCCAATAAAGTTTCTTTGGAAGTAACTTTGATCTATCAAATCCCATATCTGCTCAATTGGGTTGAGATCGGGGCTCTGTGGGGGCCATTGCATCTTTTGAATGACCCAAGCAGCTTCTTTCTTAACTAAGTAATTTCTGTATAGGTTGGATGAGTGTTTGGGATCACTATCTTCTTTGCAGCAGAATCCTTTACGAATAATACGCAAGTCACTGGGTATACCATGATGGATAAGTATCTGATGGTACTTGCGCTCGTCCATTATTCCATATATTTTGCAAATATTTTCTGTTGCCTAAGCAGAAAAACACCCCCAAACCATCATACTGCCTGCCCCATGTTTTATGGCAGGTGCTATGCATTGACGTAAGTATCTTTCCCCCTTTCTTCCGCCGGACGTACAACCTACGCTTTAAACCAAATATTTCAAACTTGGACTCCATAACACCTTTTTCCAATCATTAAAACTCCACCTTTTAGCAAATTTCAGTCTCTTGAAATATTTGAGATCAAAGTAAAGTTTTTTTAACTGCTGCACTACCAAATATTCCATTCTCGTTGAGTCTTCTTGATACTGTAGATCTGGATACTTTTCTGTCATTTGGTACATAGTGGTTTATCTCATGCTTGAGATCAGTGGCAGTCTTCCTTCTGCCCCAAAGGCTGGATAAACGAAGATATTTAGCATTAGTATCATTGAATTTAGGTGTTCTGCCTCTTCCTTTTCTATCTTCAAATTTATCTGTCGCAGTCTCACGATCTAGGGTATACTTGACAGTGTTTAGGGAGCATTTCAAATCTGCAGCAATTTGTCGGAGAGAGTATGATAAGTATTCTCACCCTCGCTCTTTCAATTGTCAACAGGGATCAATGAAGCATTACCATAGTGTTGAAATTTACATTCTGTAATGTCATGGAAAAAATATTTGATTGTTTGTTTGTAATTAAGCACAAAGCTACGCAAAGCGCTATCTGTGCCCTGCCCACCACGGGTATCGAAACTCGGTTTCTAGCGTTGTAAGTCAGCAGACATACCGCTGTGCCACTGGGGGGCTGGAAGAATTAGCCCCATAAAATCTAAAGAATGACAAAATATTATCTTGTCTTAGTACTTTTGCACAGTTATGTATAACTATTTCTCACCGGAAAGGTATTTTTCATACGTCCTTCCTAAAGTCTACTAGAAGTCTCGTTGTATGGTCAAGAACTATCCATGAACGAAATATAAAAGTAGTACACATGCCGACTGTGGAACAATATTTTGCAACTGAAACGACTCGCCACTCCATTGGCATATATATAGATAGTTTGGTTTATTTTGAGTTTCGCGTAAAGCTACACTAGGGCTATCTGCGATAACCATCCCTGATTTAGCAATTATGGACTAAAGGAAAGGATGCTAGTCAACACCACTCATGGCCAACTCTTAGGCTACTCTTTTGTCAACGAACAGTAAGATTGACCGTCACATTATGACGCCCCCACGGCTGAAAAAGCGAATATGTTTGGTGACGGGAATCGAATCCACAACTTGCAGATTGTGGGTCGAGCGCTCTAACCATCTGGCCAGGCATATATAGGTCGTTCAAATATAATGTGATTTATAACTCATGCTGATAGATATAAGAGATACTAGGTCTAATAAATATAATTTATAACACTAATCAACATGGCTGCTGTGACTTCATTTCATGACCGGAGGTATTATCGATGAGTTACTAATTCCATAACTGTGAAGATAGGTTGTTGAAGATTTGAAATTTGGGAAGTCATTTTTGATCATTTTTAAACTTACTGTTGTCATTCAAAGAATTTCTTTTTAAGCCAAATCGTCGATGACTTATGACATGGAAACATAGATACACCTAATTAGGTATATCAAAACGACTACAATGTTTCATATACCAGGTTTTCAAATCTTCTAAGAAAAAATATATGTTTTACAAGTAAAAGTACCCGTTCTCAGTGACGGTAAAAGTTTAAGTTAACCTATAAGTTTAAATTATTTGATAGACTTTAAAAAGGTTAATTGTAATGCACCCTTGGTTTCACTCAGAGCCAAAGCTCCGAGTTACTTGTATCGCCCTCTGCGGCAAGTAATTGTTGAGCTAAGAGCCGTTCAACAATAACATACGATAAATCTACATTTTTATTCTGTAAGTTACGTTACATTTTTTAATGTGAACACTAGAGTGATTAATTTCTAACAATTTAATTTAGAATATCCTCCTTGAGAAATAAAAGTTGACATCATATTTATTCATGCTCTCCCGTCATTTCACAAGTGAATGTTGAGCTTCGCCTGTGCGCGCAGCATTTCAAACTGGAGATAGACGAACACTGGGACAGACACCACGGTCCACAATATATATAAAATAATACATTACTTAAAGTAAGGACTGAATTTTCAGCTAGTCAATACTCCTACCGCCAACTCTTGGACTACTCTTTTACCAACGAATAGTGGGATTGAACGTTACTTTATAACGCTCCCAAGCCGAAAAGGACGAGCATGTTTGATGACGGAGATTCGAACCTACGCTCCTCATATAGCGAGGGGAGTGCTCCAACCATGCCAGACTTAAAGAATCTGTAAATCGTTCTTTACAATACATGAAACTTAAACACCCTCGAACTCAGTGATCAAAGTTGAAATACCTGTTAAATTAACTTGTTTAAAAAAATCACATATGGCATAATAATGATCTCGGTAGCGACTATGAATTTTTCTGGAATGATACAGTTTGCATCTACAGGGTATTCTTCTATTTAGTTAGAGGACGATGTTATGTGAGAATTATGTTCCTTTCCCAGGACAGTCTGGCGCTATGCTCTCTGACACTGTGTGCTGTGACGTACAAACTGTTACTGGAGGTTCCAGAGACGGTTTTCTAAGAGTTGGATCAAGACTTCTTGCTGTCTATACCATGATCGGCGATAGATATATACCGACCTCAACAAGTGTGATTATCAGTGGCTAAACAGTAAAGATTAAACTCTGTGAATCTAGTTTCAGCTTCTCACACACTGTTTGCAACCCAGTTGTTTTCATAATGTCCATACTAAGTTCAGAGGCAGTGGACTGACAGCATACCATAGTTGACCAACCACGACCTTCCCATTGCGGAATTTATTACATCAATATAAGCTGCATACTTTTCTAATTTTCGAAAAGGTGTAGTTTGCCCTTTAAGATACATAAATAGATATCTATGAATTTGAGATTAGAACAAAAGAAAGTTTTAGAATAGTTACACACATTGAAAAAAAACTTACATAAACACCAGAGCATATTGTTGATGTTGATAGAATAATATTCCTGACGAGAAATCAATAAATCTATGTTTAAAAGTTGTACACGTTTATAGATACTCCAGTGTGTATTAAGCAATGACGTTCTTTATATAGCTTATCGCTTTTAACTCCACAACACAACATGTATCTTTGATAATCATATAGCAGGTAACATTAAGGAATTTGGTTAGGTGTTTTTCAGCATACATTGACCGTGATGTTTACCAGACAAGATTTGTTATGTGACATGTAAGTAAAGTTTTATATGACAAATAGACGGAGCATAGCGATCTAGTAATAAGTGGAAAATGAAGCGAGGCAAGAAAATATTTTTCTAAACAATTTTTTGCACCCCTTCCTGGTTAGGCGTGTATGAATATTATTTGTAAGAAGAAACAGAATTATACATATATTACTGTCAAAAAGAAACGATAATATATATATATCACTAACATGCCAATAAAAGCAATAAAATTATTTTCTAAAACATGTAGAATTAGCATTTTCATTGATAATAATTTATTCACTAACTATTTTGTTATAGCTCACTTACTAATAAACATGGATCTTGAAACAATTACATCTTGTTATTTGAATGTAATATTATAATTTCAAGTCCATTAGGCTCAAATTATAAATTTAAATATTTTTCACATTCCGATGTTATAACGACAACAGAATATTCGAATCAAATACTGAACAAATTATCTTAATTGACGACTCGCAATCCGTGGGTCTCGGGTTCGAATCCTCGTGACACCAAACATGCTCGCCCTTTCAGCCGTGAGGGCATTATAATGTGACGGTCAA